TACATCATTTTGTACATTTTTTTTTCCATCTCAATTGTAATCCCCGCGGGTTTCCCATCACCAAGTCACCCGTGTGCCATCACTGTAATCCCATGCATTTCCCTTAACTAGAATTATTTTAATCTTTAGGTTGGTGGGACAAGTGACGTTGAAGTAAATGAAAAGAAAGACAGAGTTACAGATGCCCTCAATGCTACACGAGCTGCTGTTGAAGAAGGCATTGTTCTGGGAGGAGGTTGTGCTCTGCTTCGGTGCATTCCAGCCTTGGACTCATTAACTCCAACTAATGAAGATCAGAAAATTGGTAAAGAGTTACTTTATAAAAGTTGATTTGCTGTCTAGTTTAGGCTTTCCTATGTCAGAACGCTCACAAAAAGAAGTGTTAGTATTAGCAAAAGGACTAAAATTTATTTTCTTTATAGGTATAGAAATTATTAAAAGAACACTGAAAATTCCTGCAATGACTATTGCTAAGAATGCAGGTGTTGAAGGATCATTAATAGTTGAGAAAATTTTGCAGAGTTCCTCAGAAATCGGTTATGATGCTATGGTGGGAGATTTTGTGAACATGGTAGAAAAAGGAATCATTGATCCAACCAAGGTAAGTAGTTGACCACTTTCTGAACAGTTTTTGAATACCTCCTCTTTAAGTCTTGTTCTATTTGTACTGAGGAAAAAGTGATATTTTGTGAAACTCTTTTTTTCTAGGTGGTAAGAACTGCTTTATTGGATGCTGCTGGAGTAGCCTCTCTCTTGACTACAGCGGAAGTTGTAGTTACAGAAATTCCTAAAGAAGAAAAGGACCCTGGAATGGGTGGAATGGGTGGAATGGGAGGTGGTATGGGAGGTGGCATGTTCTAATTCCTAGAATAGTGATTTACCTTATTGATGAACTGTGAGAGGAAGCTCAAAGCAGTGTTCCTCATCTATAACTTCAGAGAAGTCAGTTGAAGGAAATGACTGAAGAAAAGGCTGGCTGATGTTTAAGAAAATCACTATAATCATCAGTTACTGGTTTCAGTTGACAACATATAATGGTTTACTGCTGTCATTGTCCATGCCTACAGATAATTTATTTTGTATTTTTGAATAAAAAGACATTTGTACATTCCTGATGACTGAGTGCAAGAGCCATGTACCAATGTACTGCTTTCAACTTAAATCACCAAGGCATTTTTACTACTATTCTGTTAAAATCAGGATTTTAGTGCTTGCCATCACCAGATGAGAAGTTAAGAAGCAGCCTTTCTGTGGAGAGTAAAATAATTGTGTACAAAGTAGAGAAATATCCAATTATGTGACAACCTTTGTGTAATAAAAATTTGTTTAAAGTTAATTGTGTTAGCCTTTTCCATGATCTGGAAGAGAAGTGAAAGTCAGTTGAAGAAGGGTGGGTCAGAATTTGGTCTTAAGAATTTGTATTGACATAATGCCTCAATATAAAAGGGCAACTAACCATTTCTTGTGAGAATTCTGGTTAGTACTCCAAAGCTACAGGATACCAGACAAGGCTGAGGGTTCTTGCTAGATAAATACCCACAGTGAGAAGGGCAGGCAGGACTTTGTGCTAAGAGTGTAGTTGAGTAGAGGGAAAAGCAAAGTGGATAGTGGGGAAGTATTCCATAGCTTGGTCAGTACAGCTTAACATCTTCATCTTTTATTTAAGAATTTAAATGCACTTCTGGCTCAATGCACTTGGTATTGTATTACCTAATGAAAGTGTGAGAGTGTGACTCTTAAAACAGTACATGGATGTGTGCATGTTAGGGGCAGAAATTGAAGGTTGAGACTTCATGTCATGACTTTTCCCCCAACCCAATAAAATGTGTGAAGTAGGGTTTGATTAAGCCAAAGGGTGAGCCTGGGATGAACCTCACTCAGCACTGAGGCAACTGTAAGGAGCCCAGTAGGTAGATTGGAAAGTTGGTTTTTTCCTCTGTTGGCTAAAACTGCACATAGTGCTGTTTTGAAGAGATCCTAGAGCATAGCAGTTCTCAAAAATCAAGAAGTGACTTCAAATATTTGAAAGTTAAAGATACTGGTTGATGGTAGTTAGAAAGCAGGAATAGAAGAAGAAATATGCTTGGTATTTTAGTAGAAATCCCTTTACAAACCATGCAGACAGAATAAATACAGCATGCAGGCTCCAGTCATGTTAAACTGAAAGATGGAAAACTTGTTGGTATGTTGGAGCTACCTTACTGCGATAGTAGGATTTACTTGATGGTACAGATGCAGGAGGGCCTTTACAATGCAAGATTTTGGGCAGTGTGTTAGAACAAATGTGTAAATAAGCCTGAAAGGAAAGGGCATGGGGCAGAAACATTGCTCCAGTAGTTAGCCATGATGGTAAAGGTGAACCTTGAAAAACAATAACCGGATCTTGAAAAATGAAATAACCAGGGGGAAAGGACTTTAAAGTCAGATCCTGATATTTTAGGAAAAAAAGTTTGAGAAAGGGGAATGCACTACAATTTAGGAAGCTTCAAGTCATCTCAGGTCTTCAGGGAATTAAAATCTGAACAGTAGGTTTTGGGGCACATGACTGGTCCTCACAAATACAAGGGGCTGTAGAATAAGCTGATGAGACCAAATGTTCTAAGGAAAATAGTGTTATAGTAACAAACTAGGAGTGATGGTAAATTTAGAAATCTTAAAATTACCTCTATATTTGACTGTCAGCAACAGTGAGACCCCCAACAGCAAGGGCATTTGTGTCCATTACCCATTATCCCTTAAGCATCACAGGAGCCAGCCCAAGGAGTTACCTTTTGCCAAGTTAGGGCATTTAGATATTTCTTAGATTTATTTATGCATACAGAACTAAGGTACAGGCTGGAGTTGCAGGTGAGAACATTCTGGGGAGAACAGGCAGATTGATGATGTACACTGCTGAGGGGAGTGAGCAATGGGTGAGACAGCAGAGGTCTGTGCCATGTGGGTTACCTCCCTGGCTGGGGATTGAGCTCATGCTGAAGCAGCTATGGCTAGCTTCATAGAGTTGTGTTTTAACCCACTGTGCCACCAGGGAGGACCCAGGACATTCTGAGTATCAGCCAAGAGTCCCTAAAAGTATGTATCTGCTTACAAATTCAGATTATGATCTTGTTTCTATACATGTAAAGGAAAAAGTGAATAAAACTATCAGTAGAAGGAAATAATAATGGAACCAAGAGTAGGAAGAATGAGATACGCTGATGGTTATATTATCAGGTAGAAAAGTCTAGCAACCAGCTAGCACTAATGATGAATAAACTGAAAGAGGCTAAGTTTCAAAAATAGGATAAGTTGGGCTCTCCCTGGTGGCTCAGTGGGTTCAAGTGCAGCACTATGAAGCTATCTGTAGCCAATGCAGCATGAGTTCCATCCCTGGTCGGGGGGGGCTGACCCACATATCGTGGCAGACATCTCTTCCTCTTCCTACTGCTCCCTTCAGTATATTTCAGGAGCTCTGCCTGTTCTATTCCCTATTCTGTCTTTGGTAGCCCTGCACCTCTGGCCTGTACCCCAGTTCTTGTATGCATAAATCTTTTTAAACAACAAAACTCCCCACCCCCACCCCAGAAGATCCAAATTCCCAGAAGTTAACTTCCCAGGGAATTAAACATTTGAGATGACCTCAAAAACCTCATGTATGTTATATTCATAAGACATACATAAGTCTGTGCCTACAAGTCGGGTCACTGTACCAGTTAGGTACAAACATGCACAAAATTCATGAATACTTGTCATTTTCCAGGAAGATAGCAAGTCTAAACATTAAAGTCTCTGAAACAACTGATAAGAACCCCAGATTTTCATAAACTATTTTATAAAAATAAAAAAGGGACTAACCCAAAGGTCAAGGGTTAGAATTACATTTACCTCTGAAGCCAGGTTGTAGATCGCCACTGAGTTTCAGACTGTATCTTCAAACATAATTAGTATAATGAATGTCCAAAAACAAAAAAAATGCAATCTCAGAAGAAATAAACAATACAAGCTATATATGAGATGTTACTCTATTTTAGTAAATAGTACTTTTATCATTCTAATAGTTTCTCAAATTCTATGCCATAGAAATCTTAGAAATGTCTTTAAAACATTAAAGAAATTCTGCTATATATTGGTTGTTCCGCTCAACCTTTGATAACGTTTAAGTTCTAAGATGACTTCTCAGAGTTAACTTACCCTTTGTGAAAAGATGGCAGATAAAGCTGCAAACTTCATAGCCTCATACAATTGAAAAAAGTAAAACCAAGGGAGAAGTTTTTCTTCCAGCTTACTTTCTACAGAAACCACCAATCTTCCCCTTATTTCACTGACCAGATGTTACTTAAAGAGCAATTTACAAAAGGCGCTCCTGAATTCATTTACCAAAAATACCATCCACATACTATCATAATAGTAGCCCAACCAGTAACTTATATTCTAAACCTAAAATTTTACCTATGGCATTTGTACAGAGTAGTGGAAAAGTACAGTTTATCTCCATCAGGCAAAATAGTACTCTACATAGAGAAAAAAGAAAATATCTGGATCTTTGCCATTAAAAAGAAACTTATCTGAAAGCAATCATCAAATTACTTATGCTCTGAACAAATACCTCATCTGTTAAGTGGAAAGGTAATGCTTTATCTATGTAAACACAACCAAACTTACTGTGATTAGAGTGCATGAACCCTTCACAACTCTATTCTGAGTGTCTGGCAGAGAAATGGTACTCAAAACAGTCATTGAACAAACTGATGATGCATACATGCTTTTATGTAGGGAACACATTACTGAGGTCCCTTATTGGTCTGAGAAAAAGTTAAAAGCACTAAGATTGGAAGTGCAATAAAAGTGGATTGTTTGGATATGTAAAGAAAGAAAATCAATATTGATTAAAGGAAAAGTGAATTTTGTACAGGTTTCTATTAGAGTATTTCTAAGTCATGAAATGCTATAATTAAAATTTACTATGTTCATGTAAATACACAATACAGGAATATTTCAATAATCAAAATAACTACAAAAAATAAACAAATTAACTTTATTAAGTTATTGCTTCAGTCTTACATTGATTTGTTTACAAAAATATGTTCGAAATACATTATTGAAAGTGAGTATATACAATAAATAGAAAATAGGGATACAGGGGGCTTGAGACCTATCAACTTATCTTCATTTGTTGCCCACAGTTGTAGGCAAAATTCAACACAGTCATCATTGAGAGAGCAGGGTATCTGGAGACTGCAAACTACTAAAAGTGTAGCTCAAAGCTCTGGACCACTCACCAAAGCAAAATTCACTGTTTATCTGGAAGCTAACTTTACTATAGCTTTGGATTATCTACTACTACCCTTAAGAACAATTTAAAAATGAGAAAATGTGAGGGAAACTTCAATAACAATATCCTTTTTAAGTTAAAGTTTTTACTTTAAATATCTGATGATTACCAAATATACTAAGTCATGAAGAAGGCTCTATGACAGTAAGTTATAGTCTGAATTTAATAATTTAAATGTGATATGGTTAACATAATACTGTGTACGTAGCTCAACTAACCTCTTCCATGTAAGCTTATAATTAAAAGGGTTAAGTTTCAATTTCTGCTCAGAGTGATGTCAGTATACTAGAAATAGTGATGACATTCCACTATTGCAAATATGCTACACATTACTTTGAACTGTACTTGATTGAATTCTGTGTATACATGGTTCCATTTTCAAATGCAGATTTGCAAAGGTAAAGATTTATAATCAAAGCTGGGTTTAAAAAATGCTTTCTGACCTCTGAAATCACGTGATGATAAGCACTTCCTAAAACTGCACAAACTAAAGTTACGAGTAGGTGACCAGTTCCTTCTTTATGTGTGATGAACTTCATGAAGCATTAATTCCCGGGGTATGTTTGTTTCTGGACCATACAGTTTACATGCTCTTCTTTCAAAGGCAGCTACCATCTGTTTCACCACTTCATCAAAAAACAGTGTCGCAAGTTGAGAGTGCAGAAGTGAGCGAAATTCAAAGGAAATCTGAAAAAAAAAAAAAAAAAGTCAATTTTTTTTAGGAAGATCTTTATTTTACTAAATCTTTGGGTAGAAGTGTTCACACTGTGAAATGGGCTGTTTGACCCACAGACTATATTAGCATAGTAAGGTGAGTTTTTTTTCATAGCTCTCAGAAGAGGGAGTCTTATTTATTGCAATAAGCACAACTGCTGGTACAACAAGCTTAAGCAGAGTCTGCTTCTATTAAGTTAAAACTGACAAGGCCTCCCTAGTGGCCTAAGGGTTAATGCTGTCAACACTATGCCCTAAGTCCAATCCCCTTCCCTCCCCAGGGCCAGGATGTTAACCCACATGGCACAGCAGACCTTTCCGGTCTCTGGTGTCTCTGCTGCCTCCCTCAGTAGCTTATTTCAGTAAATCTGCCTGTTCTACTCCCTACTCTGTCTCTGGTGAATCCATTTACTCCCTCTACCTCTAGCCTACATGCCAGTTCTATGCAAAAATAAAAATTAGGGCCCTCCCTGGTGGCGCAGCGGGTTAAAACACAGCACTGAGAATCTAAAGCCGCTTCCGCATGAGTTCGATTCCCGCCTGCTCCGCAGGTGACCACATGGCGCAGCAGACCTCTCCTGACCCGCCCGCTGCTCCCCTCAGCAGTGTACTTTGTCAATCTGCCTGTTCTGTTCCCCATTCTGTCTCTGGTGAAGCCTCTCACCGCCCCTGAGCCTCTGGCCTGTACCCCAGTTCTGTATGCACAAATAAATAAATAAAATCTTTAAAAAAAATAAAAAAATTAATTAATTAATTAAAAAAAAAAACAGATGGGAATAAAAGGTCTGTTGAATATGTTTATTATTCTGACTTCTAAAGTACCCAAGAAGGGTACTTTATATATCCTACCTTCCAAAAGGAAACAAGGAAGGGAAGTGATCCTTCAATTAAGTATTCCCATGAGAACCAACAACAAAAAGATGAGATTGCACATTCATGCATATATGTAACCTGCAACCGCTAAGCAGATAATGTAGGTGGTGCAATCTTATTGCAGGCAATGATTTAGAATTTTATAGTTCTTATTGCTCAAGATAGACTTTAAGGTAACTGATCAGATTCATAAAAAAGGTACAAAAATAGTACAAAGATTTTCCTATACCTATCACCCAGATTCTCTTTATGTATGTATACTCATAGTGCAATAATTAAAATCAAGAAATTATAAGTCGGAGTAAGTAATACAAGATAACAATGTTATCTAATCTATACCATCTTGTCAAATTTGCCCAATTGTCCCATTAAAGTCCACTGATTTTTTTTAATGGAAGCAACTCAATGGGCTGAAAATAAAAACAGTAATTTAATTTCTACTATTTCTTAAGATATAATACCTGAGTATAAATACAAAGAATTCCAACAGTATTTTTTGACAAAAAGCCACAGTTAAGTTTTCTATAGCTAACGATATAAATAAGAACATTATCATTGTCCCTAGATTCTAAAAACACGTCCCCTTTGTGTTTTATTGCTGCATCATAAGATGTAGATTAAGGAATAGCTTTCATTTAGTGTTAAACTATTATTAAGCTGGTAGTAAAATTATATAGCATGTGTCTTATAGCATGTAGATGTGTAAAAATTGGAAAATACAGTTTTGAGAACTAAATAGAAAGTGAAAAGCTCCTTAGCATTCATTTTTATAAAATCAATGAATAAGGTATTCAAAACTTGGTAACGAGGTTTTTTTAACAATATCTTTCTGTAACCTCTATGCATATAACACAAGTAATTAGAGCAAGTGAACTCTAATAAATAGACAAGCACTTACCAATTTCACCAACATTTGCAACAAATTGAGGGCTTTATGAGACACTTACTGAAAAATCCAAGGTGCAAGTTCTTGGGTAGCCAGGAAGACCTGGACTAAAACGCCAAATAGTCTCCAAGTGATTGAAAAGCCTCCCATCGGTACAGGATGCCTAAAAAAAAAAAAAAAGGAAAAAATAATAAAGCCACAGTAAAACATCATTTAGTATTGTCCAGAATCTAGGATGAGTTCTTTGCAAAGTAACCATTTTTATAGGTCAGATCACAAGTGATGTAAACAACTCACTTCAAATTTGGTACTAGCAAGTGACCTTAATGGGATCCCCAAGATTGCCTATTGCTCCACTGCTGTTTCTCTTCCACTGTTCACCCTCTGTGTTTCCGAAAGTTCTCTCCTCCAGCAATAAGAGAGAATGATTTACTGGGAATTTACTTTCAGCCTTGGCACTTATAAGCCATCCTGAACAAATGATTCCCTGAACCATACTTTATTAATCTGTAAAAATGAGAAAAATAGCTATTTTATACCATCATTATGAAATGACAAAACATAAAGAACATGGAACAGATCTCTACCACAACTGTGTAATTCTTTTCTGCACAACAATTTTTCTCATCTTTCAGTCTCTTTCAAATGTTCTTCCACAGTCCTAGAGGTCTCTAAGGCCCACTTCCCATTGTTTTGGGACCTTTAATCCTATCAATGCTCATGGTTTATCTTATGTGTGTGTGTGTGTGTACACACTGAAACATAATACTTAGCAATATCTTTGCTGTACATCTTGTGTTTTGCCATTCTATTACTTACTGAGACCCACTAAAGAGTTGCTTCTACAGGGCCTCCCTACTGGTGCAGGGTTAATCTCAGCACCATCAAGCTATCTACAGCCACTTCATAATGAGTTCAATCACTGGCCCACATGGCGCAAAAGACCCAAAAGGCACAGACCTCTCTTGTCTTGCCTACTGCTTCCCCTCAGCAGTGTATTTCAGTAGATCTGCCTGTTCTGCTCCCAACTCTCTGGTGAACCCTTTCACCTCCTGTACCTCTGGCCTCTATTCCAGTTCTTATATGCATAAATAAATAAAAATAAATCTTGAAAGAGTTGCCTCTACAGGGTAAAAAATAGTGAGCAGGAAGAAGCACAGCCACATGCCCAGTCAAGACTAATTATAACCTTGAATGAAGTTCAGCTTCTTTATTAACTATCCTAAGATGCTATCTGAATATTATTATGCTAGTATACAACTGATCTCAGGAATATCTGTCATCTTCTGTCAGCAGCAGAATACTTAAAAAATTTCTGGCTTGACTGCTATATTGGAACCCCAGTTTTGCCTCAATTTCCTGTCAAAAAGTTAAGAACCTAGAGGAATTAATATAAGCACGTGTAACAGCACTTTGAATAATGTCTGATAGCTGGTAAGCACCATTTTAAGTCTTGATTATTGTGAGTGAAGTTCATGATTCTTGCTTCTTTGGATGAAATGGAATGTGCTTTTCTTCCAGTTGGGGTACAGAATGGGGTAATAATGGCTACATAAAAATGGCCAAAGATGCAAACCACCACTGTGGAATCGCTTTAGCAGCCAGCTATTCCACTGTGTGAGCTGATGGATGGTGATAATAGAGGACTTGAGCGCAGAATCTGGAAGAATTTTATGTTAAAACTGACCAAACCCTTACCATGTACAGCTATAAGATAAAACACTTGAATTATTGAGGATCCAAGTTATGACTTGAATTCTGTGACATTTTTGTAAGGGTAAAATGTTCTACTTTAATCACTATTATAAATAGCTTTGTAATTTTGATACAGTTTCATTCTAAGACTTTTGAATTTTCATTTTTTAAAAGGATGGATGAAACATTACCTTTTAAAATAAATTTTAATTCAGTAAAAAAAATTTGTCTCAAAAATTTTTTTCTGTCTCAAAATCTAAGCTCTCCTTCCTCAATTAAGCTATAAATTATTATCTCTTTTGCCAAATCCTGAAGTCAAGCTCTTTACCCTTTTTCTCTTTGATAAAATATCCCCCTCAAGAATTCAAACTACTCCTCCCCTGAGGTTATTAAGTATGTATTAGTCATTTTCTTCCTCAATTATAGCCTTCCTAAGAATACAATGTAGGATTATTTTTCTAACTAAATTTTGTATTTTTCTACTGATAGCTCAAATAGGAGTCAAAAACAACAATAACAAAAGCCCTACTAGCAATTTGGTTTCTAACTTCCTCTTTATCTCATTCCTTCTCAATCAATTGTTATGTGGTAAAAAGATTTAAGTATTACAAAGAAGGTCAACTTCATCCATGCTAAAATGAATGTATAAAGATGTACTCTATTTATACATTAAAAGGAAATATTTTAATTTTCTAAATGGAAACTAGGGCTTCTGGCTGTCACAGATTAATGTAGACTAAAATCATTGATATGTTAAGTCTCAGGCACATTTGAGACAGCTAATAATTCACAGAAAATGTCATATGATTTTGCAGCTCCTTGGTTATAATGATTTGTACTGTATGTCACATAAGTGTGTTAGGTATTCAAATCCAGAACTTGAACCCAAGAAAACAACTGAAAGTATTGTAGGCTACTCTCAGATATTAACTTCAAACAACAAAGTAGTACATTCATTATGTATATTATAATGGAAAAAAGCTTTCAAATCAGACACACACATGAAATTTGTATAAAGTTCTTAATTAAAAAAATAAAGTTCTTAGTTTCTCTAAGTTTCACTAAATTGAAACAGCAATGATCATTTTACACATTAATACTGAAGTTCTTTTTTCTAAAAAGTTTACTCCCTCCAAGTCAGTGTTCAATAAGGAGATTAAAATGAAACTCTGGATTTGCAATAACCCCAGAATACAGTAGTGTGACCTTTTTAAGCAAGAACCCTCATGATTCTCATCATTATAGCTTTGGTGCTAAGGACACAGAGATGAAAAAGATAGAGGAAATAGGACCCCCAATTTCCTCAAGATGATCAAGCTTACAGTGAGAAATCCATATGAAAAAATAAATCACACTACAGAGTGATAAGGAAGCATGTAAAAAGCCAGAAGAATCACTGGAGACTGATTACTTGTATCAAAGGAAAGGAAGTAATAAACACATCAACACCAGAAAGCTGAAATTTGAAGAATTAATAAGCAAGGAGTTAAGTTTATTATAGGCAGAGGAGTGAACAACTTGCAAAGGCACAGATAATGCTGTGGAATAGTCACTCTATGGTGTATTCATGGAACTTTATAATGTATTTCTCAAATTTAAAGTATGGGGTGGGAAAAAGAGCATATGTGTGTATGTATGTAGGGTGGGAGAGGAGGTAGGTCGATGGTTCCATGTCTAACGATAAAGAGACTAACTTTATCCTGTATGTGTTAAGTAGACAGAGGGGAAGTAAATGAAATATCTTCACAGTTCTTCTAGTTAGATGCAGCACAATATGTCAAGATTTAAGTTATAAGAGTTTGAATGTTAAGAGTTAACATTCAGGCCCTCCCTGGTGGCGCAGCAGGTTAAAGCACAGCACTGAGAATCTAAAGCCACTTCCGCATGAGTTCGATTCCCGCCTGCCCCGGAGGTGACCACATGGCGTGGCAGACCTCTCCTGACCCGCCCGCTGCTCCCCTCAGGAGTGTACTTCGTGGATCTGCCTGTTCTGTTCCCCCTTCTCTGGTGAATCCTCTCACCATCCACATCTCTGGTCTGTACCCTAGTTCCATATGAATAAATAAATCTTAAAAAAAGAGTTAACATTCAAATAAGAAAAATATTTTTAAGATTATAGAAATATCCGCTGGTGTCAGAGAAGCTGAGTTAAGATTCTTGGCCCTGTGACCCTGGACAAGGTATTTAACTCATCTAAGCCTAAGTTTGCTGAGCTGTATCATACAGAATAATGACATTTGAATCTCAAAAGGCTGTTGTGAAGATTTAATGAGTAATTTAGCTATTATAAGAGAAGAAGTAGTATGCAAATTAAAGGTCCCCAATCTATTAGGCAAACAGGTGAAAATATTTGTAATAATGGAAAAATCCCAGAGTGAGGTACCATCTTTCAGATGGAGTTCAAATTTTGAGAGCAAGACCAGGAAAACTCTGAAGTATTAGTCTAACTAGATAGTTTACTCTTTCTGGTATGAGCATCGCACACCCTTTAAGTGTCAAAGAACTGGTGAGGCACTTAGCTCTGGCCACTTATCAAGAAATGATAATAAATTTCTTGATGGGCACAAAATGCAACTCAGCTTTAAAAGTCTTCAGACCACATTCTAGGATTCAAAAGAAATGAGTATTACTCTGTGGATTCTACCTCTATGTTTTTGTAAAGATGTATTGCATAGAACTGGAGTGTAGGCCAGAGGTTGGGGTTTGGAGTGTGGAGAGGACTCACTAGAGACAGAGTGGGGAGCAGAATAAGCAGATTTATTGGAATACACTGCGAAGGGCAGTAGCAGGCCAGACAGGAGAGATCTGTTATGCCATATGTGGGTCAGCTACGTGGCCAAGGGTTGAACTTAGGCAGTTATGGTGATAGGTGAAAGTACTGAGACTTAATCCCTAGGCTACCACGGAGGCCATAGGCATCAAGTCTTATAGATTCTCCTATGTTAAGGGTAAATGATTACTATAATGCATATAATACCACCTGCCATTTTATTACCTGGCATATGCAAGACAGTCAACAATGCTTATGTTCTCCACATTTATCTTTTCTACCTTTCTTTCTCCTCAAATTACTTTCCCCTCCCTTGACTGAGAAATACATATTTATTGTACAAATTCATTGCACCCCAATGGTAAGCACTGTGTAATGAAACAAGGAAACAAAACTGGTAGTGCAATGATTAAGTGGCCTGTTTCCTACCTTCCTTTTCCTATTAATTTAGGAACATCTTTTATCATGCTATTTGATATAACCAGAATTTGGGGAATATTCAAAACAGTAAAAAACAAAATTATTACCTTTACCAGATGTGGTTTCACCAAGGTTACTACTGATGTATAGCGCTCCAACATGGGTGGAAACCCAATTTCTAATCGTGTTTTGCAGTATCCAGATCTCCTTGATATTACATCAGATTTTTTACACCAAGGAACAAAATGCTTATAATCTTCCATTCCTGATACTACGTCATACATTTCCTGCATAGAGTATCTTTACAAAATACATACAAAAATAAAAGATATTAACTGAACCTAGTTATATGCATGTGTGTAATTTAAATTATATATGAATAACACTGTATGTGAGGCAATAAATCACTTAGCACATAATGAGAACAACACTTTGGAACAAATTACTTCAAAGTATTAATAAAAGGGAGCTAAATATACACATACAGCAGAAGTCACAGGGTGGATTGACTTGCAGATGTATTTTTTTTAAATTATAGTTTCTGACCAGCATCTAAAACTTGAGACTGAGAGAAAACACTAAAAGTAAGCTAAGTCTTTTAGTAAACAGACACCACAAGCAGATGGAGCAGAGGTTCTCGAATCACTTATCACTTGAAGCATTGCTGCCCAAGGACTATGAACACCCACTCAAACTTGACATGAGTAAAAATATATACTTTTGGGCTCCTATCTGTATCACTTCTTGCACTACCTTACCTAGTAGCATAACTAGCCAGTAATATAATAATTAGCAGTAACACCAGTCATGGGTGTGTCAAAAGTCTTTTACCTCAGACAAATGAGGGAAAATACAACTGACAAAAATTAATGAAATGCATTTTTACAAAGAACTCATGTAATTTAAAGGTCTGTTGGGACCTTTAAAGACCCTCTTGCAAATGTTTCCATAAGATTGATGTTGCTGTGCTTCTAGCTTAGCAGGATCAAGAGTCTATCCTCTACAATGTGTACTTCAAATCTGGGGCCAAACTTAATCCACTTCTTGCTTTGCAAACAGTTTAATTAGAACACAGTGACACCCATTTATTGCATAATGTTTATGACTACTTCTGGTACAATGACAGAACCAAGTAGCTGCCACACAAAACCTTAACATATTTAATATCTTGTCCTTCACAAAATAAACTTACCACTCTCAACTCTAGCTCGAATAAGCCACTTAGTATTTCTGTATGTATGTATCTATATAAGTGTCTGAGGAGGGATCTATGTAAACAAATCTGTCCCAATATATGAGCAATGTTGCTACTACATTATTGTGTACAAACATGCAGATCACAGCAGTCAAATAATTTCCTTTATTTGTTAAGTATAAAATTCTATCTTATGAAGTCATCAGTGTTTATATTCATTCAATAAGTATTTATAAAACAGCAAAGTCAACTTGGAAATCAAGAGTTTAGATGCTAAAAAGAAACCCTAGGAAAAAAGAGGCATGATACTCTAGAAAATTGTATATATGTTCTTTTAGCAGTTTTATTATACTATATACAAACCCAATTATTCTCCTCTCTGAATAGTCCTTCCTTTTGTTTATTAATGGTGCAGCAATTTTGAAGAAAGTTCTTGCATATATTTCCTTAGGCAAAACTGAGGTATGTAGTGGAAGAGTTCTGCTCATTAGTGCACCACAGGAAGCTAAATATCTAAAAAGACAAAAATTACCTGATTTAGACATTGAAAATTAAGAGGAAACACAAATTATACAGATTATAAAATAATTATCACACTTTTGGGTCTCTCTGGTGGTGCAGGAATTAAAGTCTCAGTACTATCAAGCCATCACCAGCCACTGCAGCATGAGTTCAATCTCTTGCCCAGCACCTAACCCACATGACACAGCAGACTTCCGCTTATCCACTGCTTCCTGCAGCAGTGAGTATATTTCAGTGCATCTGCCTGTTCTGCTCTCTACTCTGTCTCTGGTGAACCCTCTCACCCTCTGCACCTCTGGCCTATACCCCGGTTCTTATATAAAGAAACGAAAACAAATCTTTGAAAAACACACAGCATGGCGGCTTCTTTCTGCCCAGTTGAAAGCACACATAAAGACACAGAGATAGGAAAACGAAACAAAACAAACCTTCATAAGCACCATAAAGAAAACTAAACATAACAGCTTACAGTGAGGGGTAGAAGCTTCTTTCAGACCCTCCCTGGTGGTACAACCAGTGAAAGTACAGCACTACGAAGCTAGAAGCTAGCTGCAGCCACTTCAGCGGAGTTCGATCACTAGCCAGGGAGCTGACCCACATGGTGCAGCAGACCTCCACTGTCTTGTCCGCTGCTCCCCTCGCAGTGTAATTTGTCAGTCTGCCTGTTCTGCTCCCCACTCTGTCTCTGGTGAATCCTCTCACTGCTCCTACATCTCTGGCCTGTACCCCAGTTCTGTATGCATAAATCAATAAATCTTAAAAAAAAAAAAAAAGCTTCTCTGCAGAAAAGGTCTACAGTCACAGATCACAACAAATCATTACTATAAGCCTGTTAGTCTGTTCATTATCTATTTTTCAACTCTTCTTATCTACCCAAGATATTTTCTGAACTGAATCTATAAAAGTTCCCTAATTCTTGATCTCTAGTAAGACTTGAAATCAGGCTTCACTCTCAGGAGATGCGGTAGCTCTCTTAGAACTCCTTCTCTGTTATCTTTTACCTTCCAATTTCCATTTCAATGTATATGTGTTCAAAATATGTTCAGATAATAAAAATGTTAATGGTTTGGGGGTCCTTCTAAATACAGATGCTTAATACACTCTTGTTCACATAAAAAGTTTAGTCTTGCCCCTAACAGGATTATTGTATAACTACTTCACATTAGTATTTATTCATTATCACTAGTTCACATATTCATTGAACTCCTGTTCTGTGCTAAGCATTAAGGTTATAACTGTCAATAAAATAAACATGAAACTTATGAGGAATTTTTTTCAGTTCAAAAATAAATGGGGAGAGGGACATGTAATTAAGACTTCCTTTTGAAAGGAATTAGAAATTCCTCTGAGGTTACATTTCATTCATCAAAGACATAATAAATAAGAAGAAACAAGGAAAAATAGACACTGTAACACACTAAGTGTGTGTTCTGACATAGCCCCTCATGAATGCAAATACACACACATATAAGTGTGTGTGTAGATACAGACGGACAGATAGACAAATGGGAGGGGCAATGACTACGAGGTATTCTAGGGAGTAAGGAACCTTGTACAGCAAATTAGGGGAAGAGTACCATGAAATGTTAGGCAGGTGGGGATCATAAGCCAGAACAAAGCAATTCGGAATTCATTATCAACGAGAAGTCACTGAAGTGTTCCAAGTAAGAGAGTGATATTTCATTAAATCAAGTCTTGAAATTATTTTTTTGAAACTATGAGGTACCTTGGTGAAATCTTATATATAAAATTTGATTTATATAAAATAATTTATATATAAAAAATTAAGTGTTTAAGAACACTGACACCCTGTGGTTTGGCTGGGGAGGAAAAATAATAAAATCAATTTAAAAACAGAATGGCTGGAGAAATTGGGAATATTCAGGCTGAAGATAAATAAGATAAAAAAAACAAAAAAAAATACTGGTTTTATCCTGGGGTGGGGAAGGGAAATCAATGAAAATGATTACACTAACTGCTACATGACTATTTGTTAAAATATGATGTAACAAATAAAAAATAAACTGTATGGATAAATACACCGGCTCTTTTAAGATTCTATAAAAATTACAAGAAATGAGTGAGGAAAATATGGTTAAGTATGATGGCTTTGTGAATTATTGTTCTAAAACACCACCAGTATTTGATATAATGATGCAAGAGCATATTTTTTTTTTTAAAGATTTATTTATTCGTACAGAACTGGGGTACAGGCCAGAGATGAGGAGGGTGAGAGGATTCACCAGAGGCAGAGTGGGGAATAGAACAGGCAGATCAACAGAGTACACTGCTGAGGGGAGCAGCGGGC